TACCATCTATATTCAGTACCTGTATTCATGGATGACTCACATATTTCAACTGGCTGAATGAAATCTTGACTCAACTTTGACCAGGTTTGAAATTTAAACTCTGGATGAGATAGATGGATTGGCTATATTATGTTTGATATTTCAATCAAAGAGAAACTCCTTTTTTTTTTTTTTTACAATCATGGAATAAACATTTTTTTCTTTCAAATTCAGAAAAAGAATATCTATGTATTACAAATGATTATACATTGTGGCACAGACTTCTAGTAATTTACACCTATTTCTTCTTCTTTCTAGATAGACAGACTGTATTTCTCAACCTCCTTGGCAGTTAAGTATAAGGTGACTGAGCTTTAGCTCCAGGCCTGGCCTACAGCAACTTTCTTCTCATAATCCTCCATCCTCTTCTGCAGCTGGATGCAGCTGGACACTGGCCACAGGGGATGATAAAAACACAGATGGAATAAGCCTGCATCCCTGAATCTCTACAAGGAGGAATGTTATTTATCAAGAAGAAATGCTCACATAAATGAGAGGGAAAAAAATTCTATTTTATTAAGTCACTGAAATTTAGGGGTCTATTTGTTACCACAGTTAGTATTACATTAACTAAAACATGTGCAATCATTAACAATCTTCCAATTGTCAATATGAAATGTACTATACTTACAAATTGAGGTTTGTAATATGCTGGACCTAGTGTACTATCACTAGCAGGTGGAAAACATTTCGTAATACTGTCATCCTCATTAATATGATAACCACACGACTTCCCACAAGAAGGAATTGAAGGAACATCAACACTTTTAGTAACTGTAGGTACTCTTGAAATTTTCTGTAAGGAAAACATTTTATATTATTGACTCAAGGCAAGAGAAGAGGAAATGAAGAACCAAATATTAAAATTTACTAAAAGGCAACTATTAAATATTGATTTAACAAGTTTCATAATATAAACCAAAAATGTTTGTTTTGTAAAAGTAATGTAAAGGAGTGAATTCAAGTCTCATCTCATCTTATAAACCAAGAGAATATATACCATTACTATTA